CACAGCACAGCACAGCGCAGCGCAGCACAGCTCAGCTCAGCTCACAGCACAGCACAGCACAGCACAGCGCAGCGCAGCACAGCTCAGCTCAGCTCACAGCACAGCACAGCACAGCTCAGCACAGCACAGCACAGCTCAGCACAGCACAGCTCAGCTCAGCTCACAGCACAGCACAGCACAGCTCAGCTCAGCTCACAGCACAGCACAGCACAGCACAGCTCAGCTCAGCTCAGCTCACAGCACAGCACAGCACAGCACAGCACAGCTCAGCTCAGCTCAGCTCAGCTCAGCACAGCACAGCTCAGCACAGCACAGCTCAGAGCACAGCTCAGCTCAGCTCACAGCACAGCTCAGCACAGCACAGCACAGCACAGCACAGCACAGCTCAGAGCACAGCTCAGCTCAGCTCAGCTCAGCTCAGCTCACAGCACAGCTCAGCACAGGGGCCAGTGCTTGGAATACAGCCATCGTGCCAGTTGTCCTGAGAGTGGTCAAACATCAGCGATGCCCACAGGAACCCTCAGGGCACCTTGGGTCCATCCTGGCAAGGTGGCTTGTACCTAGTTGAGGGAGTGGAGTGGGACAAAGCTCAAGTGGGGGGCCAACTCCTTGTTTCAGCCTCACCTCTCAGTTCCATCCAGCTTCCTGCCTCTCCTCCCCAGCCTCCTCTGTCCACCCCTGTGTGGCTCAGCCTTCTCGGGTTCTCCTTGTCCTTCTAATCCGGCTCAAGATGGTCACCTGTCTTAATGTCAGCTTCCTGAGCCCTCTGGGTGCCTGTCGATCTTGGGAGGCCCCTCCCAAAGGAACACAACCCCATCTTTCTCCCAGGCCCCCTCCTGCTCTCCCTAAGGGAGGGCCAATTTCAGTTTGAGCATACAAGCTCTGCTTTGGGGGTCATCTCCCACTAAGGCAGAGGGACTGGAAAGAGACCCTCCCAACTCCATCCAAGTGCGGGAGCTGGGTAAGAGGTGGGAAAATGAATATTAATTTATCATGATTAGGCAAATCCGGCAGGGAGAGCCGATTCAGGCGGAGGAGGCTAAAAAGATGAATTTCAGCAATAAAATTAAATAAGGACGGACGGGCGGCCCCTCCTCCCTCCCGCTTTGCTGATCTCTCTCTTTCTTACAATTTATGAGGCCAATTATGAAGATGGGGTTGGAAGTTCCTGGAACTTCACTAAATGCAAACGGCGGTCCCTGCTGTTCCCATCAAATTAATTAACCGCGTGCTATTGATGGCCGCTCAAGGCTGACGCAAGCGGTCCGCCCTGCGGCCTCTCCATGGACACAAGGACCCAGAGCTCCTAGTCCAGCCAGGACTCTCCCGCCTTCCTAGCCCCTGACCAGCACCACCAGGGTCCCCTTCCGGCCCACACACCTGCCTGAGCCCTTGGTGACTTGGGGCCTGTACCCAGAGGCTAGCTAGAGCCACTGGACTCATCCATAAAATGGAAACATGCAGCCACAGGCCCAGGGCCCAGAGATGAGTGGTAGGCACACAAAAAGGCAGCCACGCCAAACACCAGCACACATGCAATGGTGGCTGAGCTGAGGCTTCTGGAGCAGGCGAGTAAGGGCACTGTCTGCGGCTACAGGCTTGTTCACCCAGGGCGAGGCCTGAGTCAGGCAGACTCTACACGGAGGCTCCACTCGACAGGGATAGTTCATGGATTCAGGGCATCTTCTGGCAGCTTTCTCAGAGTCCTTCCAGCAGCCCTTCAACCCCTGGGCATCTCCTTGTCTCGCAGCCCAGGGCCTTCTTCAGAGTTGCTCTGCCACAGGGGAGCGGGGCTGAGATCACAGACTAAGGCCGATGAGACCTGGTTCAAAGTCTCAGACTGGCTTTTCTTTGGGGCCTTAGGTAGGAGAGTTCTCCAGTTCCAGAAGCTGGAAGCAGGGCTGCTCATGACTTCCAGGAAACCGGCTGGCCAGTTCTGACAGGAGGGCAGAGTGGACACAGGGCCACACTGGCGCCCACTCTAAGCTCAGGCAGCTGTGACTTCCTCCCCTGCTCCCTCTCGGAAAGCAGGAATGTGTCCCTCCCGTGGTGGGGAAGGGGGGATGCAAGGCCAGTTTTCAAGTTGTATCCCCTTTGTCCTGGCAAGAAGAGTCCCGCTCCTACCAAACGGGCAAGAACCCCATGATTCTGGAGAAGCCTGCCCACCCTACCATGCCCCCTCCAGGTGTGGGCCACGGATGCCTGGCATGTGATGCCTGGCATGTGCCTGCACCTGTCTACCTCAGCAGCCAGAGCTCCGGATACAAGCTTGGTTCACAGCCTGGTTATGGCTATCACCCACACTGTCAGCCCAGGCCCTGGGTAAACACAGGGTTTCTGTCTAGCAGGGATAGATCATGCCACCCTACGAGGACTTGTGTCATGGGCATAAGATGTCAGAGGGTGGCTGAAACGACGAGAGGCCCACAGCAACCCAGAAGGGGGCTGGGCCTCCTTCTCCCACAGGGACAAGTCACAGGTCTCCTGACTTGAGGCAGGACAGTGAGAGACCAAGACACATACAGTATTGGCACACTGATGTTGCAGGAGAAAACGGAAGACTGGAGGCTTAAAAGAACACGAAGCTAAGCTGGGCAGTGGTGGCGCACACCTTTAATCCCAGCACTCAGGAGGCAGAGGCAGACAGATCTCCGAGTTCGAGGCCAGCCTGGTCTACAGCACCAGTTCCAGGACAGCCAGGGCTACACAGAAAAATAAAAACAAAACAAAACAGGGCCACTCTGTGCAGAACAGGAAGTCTCTGGAAAGAATGGCACTTCACAGAGGCTTTAGGTCCTTGGACGTGGCTGCTTGCCAGTTTGGTGAGGGCTGTACAGTGGCTCTCACCTCTCTCCCCAGTGGGACCCATGCAGACCAGGCCCCAGCTTTGGTGTCGGGGGACTGGGCTTGAGCTGGAGGCCTGATCTCAAGAGGTTAGCGTCCAGGACTGTTTTATTCTCTTTGAGATGCCTTGAACTTCCTACATAGCCCAGGCTAGCCTAGAACTTATGATTTTCCTGCCTTCTGAGTATCTGCAACTGAAGGTATGTGTGTCACTGCCCAGACAGAGGCCAGGATTGAGACCAAGGAGGCAAAAGCCAACTCTGGGGTTCTACAAACACACATCTGCACACGCACACACCTATAGAAACACACACACGCACACACCTATAGAAACACACACACATGCACACACAACCTTCATACTCCACAGACTATAAAGTTAGAGCTTCTGGATTTAAGCTTCCCTCATGTTCCACCTCAAAATTTCCCAATAGCGTCCTGCGGTCTCTCCAGGAAGCCTTCTGACTTTGGGCCCATCATTTTTAGACCTTCCAGATCCCCACCCTGCCCGCTGTAGTGCAATGCCCAGGCTCAGAAGCTGCTGTGTACCTGCGGACTCACTCCCATCTGCTCCATCAAACACGAGCCAGATCCCCGGCCTCGGCACCCTCTCCTCAGCTGGCTCACACTGGCCCTGAGGTCTGGTGCCGCCTCTCAGATCGGCCATCTTCCTACCATCCTTTCCCCCTCCTCATCCAGGTAACTCCCAAGCTCCCATTGCTGTCTGTGCTGTGCAGTCTGTTTTTTTTACCGTTTCCTACACACACTGCCGCCTCTGCTCACGTCCCACAACAGTCCCGTCACAGGGCCACAGGAGCTGCTGAAGGGAGGACAGAGAGGGGCCCCTTGCGTCCGACTCCAATTCTCTCTCTCCGATTCTCCACCCAAGACCCCATTTTGGGTTCAGGATGTGACTCAGGCAGGCCTGACTAGCCAGTGTGGGTTTCTGGTGTCCTGCTGGGGTGGGGGACACCAGGTAGGGCTGTGGCAGCTTGCGGACACCAGGCAGGCTGAATGTCAAGAGCACTTTATTGGGCCCCATGGCCCTCAAAAGCCAAAACCAGAGTCTGGGCAGGCCACCCCCAGCAGGCAGCTCCAGTGGCACAGGAAGTGAGTGGGTGAGGGACTCCCCATGGCTTCCTCCCACCCTGAGGGGTCTAGGAAGATGCTGCACTCACAGCAGCTCCCCCTCCCCATGCCCCTCCCCGTGCCCACAGCCTCTCTGGACACGCAGCATCTAGTTCAGTCTTGGGTGGAAAAGGGAAGCCTGGGTCATCAGCACAGGAAACCAGTTTGAAACAAGCAGGATCCCAGATGAGGCTTCATGAAAAACTGTTACCAGGAGCAGTGCGGAAGTAGAGGGGCAGCGGCCTAATCCTGGCCAGGAGAAGGCTCGCAGGTTCTCAGAATCAGGCTCCCAGCCTGGCTGTCTAAGGACAGCTGGTGACAGGGGCACATGGCGTCCCTTTCCCAAGCCCTAGATCACCAGTCCCGCTCGGCCGGCTCTCGGTAGGGCAGGCCTAGGAGCCTGAACACGTCCTTCTCTGTGGGGGTGGGCAGCACGCGTCCAGGCCCCACCTTGACACCTTGGTTGTTCCGGAACACAGCTTCGCTGAGGGCATGCTCTGACAGGCTCATGCCCTTGGTCTTGGCCAGAGCTCGCATGGAGCGGTTGAAGTGGGCAGAGCCGGTGAAGTAGAGCAGGGCGCAGGCAAACTCACTGTAGGGCACAGTGATGATGTCCAGCCGCCGGTGCCGCCGCCCAGCCCCTGGGAGCCGGCACACACCCAGGTACTTCTGCTGCTGGCCGTTCTCCTCCTGGCTCACCAAGTCATCCGTGAGGAACCCTGGCCCGATGCAAGAGACGTCCTAGTAGGGCCAGGAGCCAGCCCTGTCCATCTTACCCTCTCAGGTTGCCTAACGTTCTTTATTCCCGGCTTCCTCATAGCGGTGTTGAGCTGAGCGCCCCTGCCCCTCTGGGCCCAAGTCCTCGTCTACGGAGCGTGGACCCAGCCCCAGGTGAGACCCTCCATCCGCAGGGAGGCTGGGTGCCTGTTCTGCAGTGTCCTTTGCCCCAGGAGAGGTAGGATTCTTGCAAAGACCCTCCCCCATAGCATGTCTCAAACTGAGAACTGGGAGCTGGCTGGCCCCTGCTAGCCTGCTCACCCGAGGCAGGCAGGTGGGTACCTTGCTGCCGAAGGCTGTCAAGGAGGCGGCTGAAGATGCCCTGGTGGGATCGGCCGTCTGGGTGAGTGATGAGCACGTCTACGTCTCCGCAGGTCACCTTCCCCCGTCGGTAAGAGCCACATGCCACACACAGCAGCCCGGGGCTGAAGGCCTGGGCTGATACCCGGACCTGGGGAAGAGCAGGGAGGACAGGCGGTGGGCCTCTCCCGTACACACAGAGCCTTTGCCCCAGCCCTATCCCCACACCTCAGGGCAAGCTGAGGGGCGCCTGGGGTGCTGGAGGGACAAGCCTGAAGAGGCCCGAAGAAACTGCCTCTGCCTCAGCAGGAGGGCTCCGTGTAAGAGCAAAGGGACACTCCTAGGGTCTGGCCACGACCCACACCCAGTAGCCGGGCCTGCGAAGCTCCATTAGTACCAAAGGCCATGGCCCTGCAGCTCAAGCTGCCTGTGAATTTGGAGCTGATGGCAGTGAGCGGGGGCGGTGAGGAGAAACTGAAGCACGGAACATCACTGCACCTGTGGGAAGGGGAGGACAGCGGCTGCCTGTGGCCTTCTGGGGGAGGGGGGTGGATGCTGGCCCGTTAGCAGAAGGATCTGAGTCACCTGACTGAGGACCAGACGCAGACCTTTCTGGGAGGCCTTTTGCATGCAGATGTAGCCCGCCCCATTGCACTGAGGCTTCAGAGGCCCTAGATACCTCAAGCCTTCTGACAAGCAGTTCTGAATATCCCTTCTGTCCCTTCTTGGACCTCCCAGGAGAATGGGAAGAGGTGGCCTAGATGGGCACTCCATCAGAATCTCTATAGCAGGAGCCCTCAAGAGGGCAGGCTGCAGTGGGAAGCTGAGCTCTTCCAGTGGGCTAGGGGCTGGTGGCCATCCAGGCATTCTGCGTGCCTGGACACCGAAGCTGAGTGACGTGTCAGCATGAGCACCGCAGCTTGGCGACGGGTACACAGCAGGGCCTGTCCATCCATCCCACACCGGTCCCACAGCTCCTCTGCAGGGCCGCAGGCTGGTTCAGGCTGGCTCGGCTATCACTCATCAAGACGCTGGGCCAAAGTGAATGAGTGTGGCCCGCTCACCAGCCTGACTCCTATGCCAGCTGAACAAACAACACAGATATCCTAGAACACCCTTTCTCCCTTGACTCAACACTGTTCATAAACTTAGAAACTTAGTCCCCAGCCCTGAACTGAACCTTTAACTTGGCCAAACCATATTTACTGGCCAACTAGAATTTTCTTTTTCTTTCTGTGGTACAGGTGTGGGGGAGAGGTATGGGTCTTGGGCATGCTCAGTAATGCTCTACCTGTGAAGCACAAATTCAGGCCTTGAGACTGTGCCTGCCTCCACTCTAGGCTATAGATGCGCAGTGCTCATCCTCTCTGAACCTGACACCATCCCTCACAGGGCTGGCCTGGCAGTGCCTGCCCCCAACCTGATGTCCTTGGTGTTCAGGGAGCTGTGCTTACCGTCCGCTCAATTTCTGCAGCCTCCTCCCTGGGCATGCGGTCCAGGAAGTCATCATAGTGCTTCAAGCCAATGGCCTGCTGAGCAGTCAGGGAGCCCAGGCTTCGGATATCTTCTAGGTTTCGAAAGCCCTGGAAAAAAGCAGCCAGAGAGGAGGCTGTGAGGACCTAGGACTAATGAAGTGTAGGGACCAGAAGACACAGGTAGACACCTGTCACAGCAGCTGCCATGGAAGACATACAGCAGGACCAATCAAGTCCAGCCACTACTCAGTGGGGCAGGCCATAACTGGGGGTGCTGGTCCCTCATTCCTTGGTCTAAAATGGGTCTGGGCTTCACTCCCTCAAACTCCAAAGATCATTCTTAGCATGGCCAAGTTTGGGAGCCATTGTTCTAGACATGGAACTCAAAGCCTGAGCTCCTTAGAAAGTCCCTTACTGGAGTCAGGTGGATCTCTATGAGTTCAAGGCCAGCCTGGTCTACATAGTGAGCCAAAAAAACAAGAACAAACTAAAACCAGAAAATCCCTTGCTGGTCTGCAGGGCAGAGTAATGTCTGTTCACATGTCAAAGGCACTAAGCCACACAACTGTTCTGGGGACAGGAGAGGACCAAGGTGAACTCAGGAGTCCCTGGAGTTGGATTGGGAAAACACAGGACGCAGATTCCTGAGGTGGACAGGAAGGGATGTGTGGCAGAGACCCCGCCGCAGAGCAACACTGAAGTGGCTGGGTATGACCTGATGGTACCACATCTGGGCAGTCTTAGTCCCAGCTCCCCAGATGTTGGAAAAGAGCTCCAAGACAGGCACGCTGTCACTGATGTGGTCCAGCTTCCGCAGATGCCCGCTCTCCAGGATCTCCATGATCTTCTCAGCCATCCGCTTGCCGACTCCTGGGATGCTGCAGGCCTCCTAGGAAGTGGCACAGAGGAGGACGAGTGAGAAGCTAGAAGGGGAGAGCCAGAGGAGGGGCTTATCTGCCAGACCAGCAACCATAGGGAACCTGTCCTTTGGTGCCCAGACACCAGCAAGAGAAAGGAGAGAAAGTGGCCAAGCATGGTAGTACATGCCTTAACTCCCAGAACTCCTGGAGGCAGAGGCACAGGCAGATCTCTGTGAGTTCAGGCAGGGCTACTAGAGAGACTGTCTCCAAAAGAAATAGAAGACAAAAACATGACAAAATCATAATTACAAAATGAGATAGAGAAAATGACAGCTCATCACCATCACAACTGCCACCACCATCATCACAACTATGCACCAACACTGACTGGGGCTCACTGCACCGCACTGACTGACTGGGGCTCACTGCACCCACTGACTGACTAGGGGCTCACTTCACTAACTCGGGGTTCACTGTAGCACAGTGACTGGGGACTCAGCGTATGCCATTCTGTGCTACTGGGACCATCTTCTGACCTTACAGAAACACTGTGAATAGCCTGTTATTAATTCCCTTCAAGTGATTGGAAAACTGACAGAGTAAGTAACTTATCTAGAGTTCCCAATTAATGGGCTCAAGAGTCTAACACACAGACACCATCCCTGGCTTTAAACTTAGCACATAAAAATACTCAGAAGTAGAGGGAACAGTGTAATGAACCCCTAAGTACCATTTCCCAGTCCTAACAATTTTGTTGGTCTGTTTCCACTATTGCTTTTTTTTTTTTTTTTTCTTTTATCAATGTATCTCTGTGTGTAGATCCCTGCCATTATGAAATCTTAACCACTAAATTTGCTGCCCGTGGTGAGTGCTGCCATTAAGCACTAGTTAGGAAAGAGGAGACCTCTTCCCCAACTGCCAAGTACCTGGTAGGAGCTGACAGGCTTGTGGAAGCTCTTGAGGGCATTGATGGCCTTGGCATAGCCCAGGGCCCTCCACTTGTCTCCTTGGACGTTGTAGGCTTTTGCCAGCACTTCTAGCTTCTCTGTGATGTGCAGGTTGTAATTGGTTGCCTTCTGGCTTGAGGGCTGTGCACAGACCCACTTATCCAGGGTTCTTGGGGCTGGGTTGGGCCCACCATCTTCCTCAGGGGGGGTTGGGTAGTGCCCACTGATCAAGGCCTCCAGATCTGCTGGGCTAACCTGGGGCCCTTCCCCATCACTGGTTTTACCATCTGAGCTGAGCTGTAAATAGAAGAAACAATAAATCTGTGTGCTCCTCAAAAATGAGGGTTGTTTGGTGGGTAGGCACCTCCCGCTGACTCAAGGAAGAAGCTGCAACCACCACCCTGGGCTTGTGCTTGTGTCTTCTTCAGTGTAAGGCCATGCTCCCCAGGGCTTCCAATAGAGCCAGCCCTGCCTGGGCTTCCCAGGGGTGTATGGCAGACATGGCTTGGTGGATGCCGGAGTGATGGTGGGAAGAGCTGGGCAGCTGCATAATCAAGAGAGACCTAGAACGTTCTGGTTAGCCTCCAGGCCCTTCCACTTCTGTGATCAGGGCCCTGAGCTGGGAGGATCCTCACCTGGGCTTGGGTTCTTGGTGGCTTCTCTGCCTTTGGGGGAGGAGATGCAGCTCCGGTGTGAGGAGGGGACACGGAGAGGGCTGTCTGGGGTAGAACCCCCTGGGTGCCTGGAGCAGAAGCATGTTGGCCTGCCTTACCAGGCTGTGGTTGGTCCAAGGACCTAGTGGGCACGGGGAGGTCACAGGCAGTTAGGATATCAGAAGCCTCACCTTCTTTCCCTGTCTTTCTTTACACAGAAACCTTGGTTTCCACGTATGTCCAATTTAAAAAGTAGTTGTTTTTTACTAACTCAAATGGAAACTCAAATGTTCTTAACAAACCCTTGTGAAAGGCTAGGAGCGGCCTACCTCTTGGGGATGGAGAGGCAGAATCCATCTGTGTCTATCAGCCTTCTCTCCTGCAGGCACAAGCTCAGCCAGGCTGACTTCACCAGCTGAGCACCAGCGGGTAGCTGGGGCAGTCTGAGGAGCCGGAGAGCCCGCTGCCAGTCCATGTCTTCATCCACCACAATGTGAGTGACTCCTGGGGCCTGGGCAGGGCAGATCTGGCCCCCATGCTGGACAATCTGCTTCTCAAAGAGTTCAGCTCGGGCTCGTCCGATGCCAGTGGGCATGATGTGGGCCCTCAGGGAGCTCAGCCATTCTGTGGAGAGGACGTCCAAGCGCTATTACTAAAATAATTTATTATTGCTGTTACTATTGTTTGAGACAGGGTCTCATGTAGCCCAGGCTTGTCTCAAGCACACTACAAAACAGAGAATAACACCTTGAGCTTCTGATTCTCCTGTCTCTACCTCCAAGTACTGGGATTACAGGCTGTCTGTCACTGAGCTGAGAAACTTTCAGATAAAGTCTGAATGAATCGTCTGAAGTCACCTCCCTTCAAAGTAATCATTTTCCTGCCACCCAGAGAGCAAAATGCTTTCAAGGGATTCTACTACAAACATGTAGCAAACTTTCTTTTGTTGTTGTTGTTTTCAAGACAGGATTTCTCAGTTTTTTGTTTCGTTTTTCTGAGACAGTGTTTCTCGGTGTAGCCCTGGCTGTCCTGGATTCGCTTTGTAGACCAGGCTGGCCTCGAACTCACAGAAATGCACCTGCCTCTGCCTCCCTGAGTGCTGGGATTAAAGTCGAGTGCCACCACGCCCAGATGAGTTTCTCAGTTTGAAGCCTGACTGGTCTACAGAGTGAGTTCCAGGGTAGCCAGGACTACACTGAGAAACCCTGTATTGAAAAACAAACAAAATCTAAAGATGAAGCGCCAGCTGCATGGTGCTGCACACCTATAAACCCAGCATTCGGGAGGATCAGGAGCTAAAGGTCATTCTCAACAATACGGCAAGGTCAAGGTTACAACGAGACCCTAAACAAAAGAAGAGGACAGAAATCAAAGCTAACACAAGGTGGGTAAAAAGGAGATTTTGACCCCTGCACAGGTAGGGCCACTTCTATTTTTCTGGATGAAAAACAACAGGAAGGCTGAGAGTTCAGGTGCATGAGTTCTGAGGTGGGGGGGTGGGGGCTCACCTCCAGCTTCTCCAGCCTCCCTTTTGGGAATCTTTGCAAGTGCTTTTGGCGCTGGATCTGCATGAATTTTCTTTCGCTTGGGAAATGCCTTCAAGATGCCCTGGGGGTCCATTGAAGTACCTGGATCCTGACCCGTCTGTTTTAAGGAGAGATGTCATAAGAAATCCAAAATTGACGGCCGCCCCTAGGCCATTTGGTCCACAGAGATGAGCTTTGAGGGTAACAGATCCTCCTTGTCAGAGGTCTCAGAAACCCCAACTAAACTGCAGGGATTTAATCTGAGCATCACACACACCAGCCTTTCCGTGTTAACAGTATTGAGGGAAGTCAGGGAAAGGCTGGGACTATTGTGGGGGCCAGGGGTGGCGATGGCCTTTGGACCTAAGGGAAACAATCTTGGAGGGAGGAGGCCCAGAAGATCCAGCCCAGAATCAGCCTCTGCTTCCACTTCCAAGAAGCCTTCTCTAAAATAACACGGGCTAGGAAAAGGGACTACATCTGTAGGAGAGTCTTCATCTCCCCTAGAGAAGTGGAGTCTGAAGGGCACGCGCACAGGCGGCCTCACGTCGTCTTTCTCTAGCCTCATTGCGCATTCGCGGAGAAGAACCTGGGGGGTGAGGCTTCAGGGAAAACCGTGGGCACGCCGTGCACCTGGCCCCGTCTCAGCCTGGAGGCTGTGTTCTGAGCCCCGCAGCTGCAGGGAGGTGGGGGCAGCCGCAGCAGGTGTAGGGTGTAGCAGCCCTCACAGCTGGGAGTGGGCAAGACTGGGGTAGACGACTCACATCCACCGCTCGCGCAGCTGGCGTGAGTCAGGGACTCCCAGCTGGGGCCAGAACAGTGCTGGTGCTGACACCCTTTAAAAAAAGCCCTGGGAGTATCCCCACCCGACCCGGCCCCAGGACCGGTCCACAGTAGGCCAGAATCTCCCGGCAAAGAGACATAACTCACCATGGGAGCCAATGAAAACGGATGGGGCGGGAGGGGGGAAGGGGAGCGGGGAGGGATTTAAAAGTACGTTCCCAGAACACCTTCCAGGTCATCCGGAAGTGATCCCCAGCCAGGCAGTTGCCATGGCAGTTGCCATGGCAGTGGCCGGGCGCGTTTCTGGGCGGAGAGAAGATGGCGGTGACTAGCTGGCTGGAGAGTTTGCGGTCGGCGGAAAAGACGGCGCTGCTGCAGGATGGTAACTCGTGCTCCCCGACCCAGGGCGGGCCTGGCGCCGCCGACCCCAGGGAGGGCCTCAGCCTGGGTGGGCACAGCTGGAAGTGTAGCTGGCAGCCGTCTCGCCAGCTTCCTGCATTTGCAGAGGAGGAAACTGAGGCCCAGCGAGTCTCCGGTCACCAACCTCTAATTTTCCTTACACCATCTCGCCGCGCTCAGAGTTTTGTTGGTAATTCTCAGTAATTCATTTTACGCTCAACATCGTACCTCAGGGCTGTGCCAAGAGGCTAATTTCCCGGAGGAAACTGAAATCCAGGGCAAGTTTTAAACAAGACCCAGGTTTTGCAGATAGTCAGGTATAACTGTATCATGACCTGGGACCCCATGCACCTCAGTTTGGGGGTCCTAACGATGATGGCAGCCCAGCGGCACAGAAAAAAGGGACACCAGGGTTGTTGGTTGGTTGGTTAGTTAGTTGGTTCGTTGGCTGTTTCGAGATAGCGTTTCTCTATGTAGCCTTGGCTGTCCTGAACTAACTTTGTAGACTAGGTTGGCCTTGCACTCACAGCGATCCACCTACCTCTGCCTCCCAGAGTGCTGGGATTACAGGTGTGTGCCTGGGCTTGACACCTGGGTTTTAGATCAACTAATACTATGGATTCGCCATGGACTCTTAATTTGTTAGGACCTCGTTTTCTTCAAGTGTAAAATGAATTGGGTGGCTGCCACTGCTGGTTCTGAAGTCCTTCCCAACTGTGTTTACAAAGTGGATTTCTAAGTGTCCTCTGGTCTTCAGGGGAGATAGAGCAAGGCCCAAGGTGCAAATGACTAGGAACAGGAGTTTGAAGTCATGCCTTTCCCCATCCTGCAGCTGGCCAGTGTTGAGTCCCTTGTTCAGAGCTCTCTCCCTGACCACTTGGCAGCCAGGGTGAATTAGGTCTGAATTCCTGAGGCTTTGCCGCCTTTAGAGCTAACAGCTGGGGACTTCACATCCACAGGTAGATGCCTGAAGTTTATGGAAACTAAAATCAGGTGTCATTTGTTCCTAACTGCAGCTTTTAGGGAGGCCTGGACTATGTGCTAGAGCAGATAGAAAACAACAACAAACAAACAAAAACAGCCAGGGTCTGTGGTCTCCTAGGTGTCCATAAAATGATCAAGAAAAGATGTGTAGGTAAATAGCAGCTTGCGTTAATTAGAGGTTGGAGTCTTAGCAAGGCAAAGACTGTAGACTCTGCACTCAGGAGGCTGAAGCAGGAGACCCCAGCTTCAGAGAGAGGGAAGGAGGAAAGGAAGTGAGATATTATGTGAAATGCTAAGAAAACAGGAAGGTGAACATAAAATGTTCTCTTTGGATGATCACCAAACAAAAGCGGTGGTATTTCCAGCCCAAAAGAAAAAAAATTTTTTTTGGGGGGGGGGCAGGTTTTGAAACAGGGTTTTTCTCTGTGTAGCCTTGGCTGTCCTGGATTCACATTACAGACCAGGCTGACTTCACAGAGCTCCACCTGCCTCTGCCTCCCTGAGTGCTGGGGTTACAGGTGTGCGCCATTGCGCCCAGCTCCCATGAAGATTTATTAATAGTTATTTGTAAGTGGAGTTGAAGGGATGACTGTGTGTGGAAGAATGGATCACGTGTAGAGGTGAGGCAATCTGGATGTATGGCCAGTTATTGAGGACTAGCGAATGTTACGTGTTGAGAAACAGCCACCTTTCAGACACTGGCTGCACTGTCCAGGTACCAGGGTACCGGGTAAATAGGAGTCTCTCTTCTCAAGAGGCTGTCAGAGGAAATGGTAGAAAGTGAAGAGATATACAGAAACTGGGACATGCTGCGATCTCGCGGTGTGCAGATTTGAGGTGTGTCTTTGCTTTATTTTGAGATAGGGTCTTGGCTGGCCTAAAACGTGCTGTGTAGACCAGGCTGGCCTTGAAGGCACAAGAGGTCCTTCTGCCTCTGCCTCCCTAGTGTTATGATAAAAGGTGTATACCATCACACCTGACACAGCTTTTGTTTTTATTGTGTTAAAAAATACATATAGCATAAAATTGGCCGTCGCAGCCCTTTTTAGGTGCACAGTGAGGTGTCATTAAGGCCATTCACGTTGTTTTGCAACTGTCGCCACCTTCCAGCTTCAAAACTTCATTCTCAAAAGCAACACTCCGTACCCAGAAAACATGGCTCCACACTGGTCTCCCCAGCCCCTAGCAACCAGCCCCTAGCAACCACCATTCTACTTCTGTGTTTCAGCTAATCTGACTAAGCTAAGAGCTTCATGTAAATGGGATCAAATGGTATTTAATTATGTAAATGGAATCAAATACTATTAATTATTTCACATAGCAAAAGTTCTTCAAGGTTCACTATGTTGTCATTTGTGTCAGAATTTCCTTTTTATTTTTTGTATGTGCTAATGGGGAGGCCGCAGGTTAACCTTGGGTGTCTTTCCCACAGTTCCCAACTTGTGGGAACTGGTTCTTTCCCTCTACCATGTGAGTTCTGGGATCAGTCAGGTTATCAGGCCTGGCGATATCCTCTTTCACCAGCTCAGCCATCTTGCTGATCTTCACCTCATTTTGAGAGAGGTTCTCTCACCAGTCAGAGCTTACTGGCTGGGCCTGGCTAGCTGACCAGTGAGCAAGCCCCAGGACCCTTCTGTCCCCAGCTCCCCAGTCATGGGGTTGTATGTAAGTCACTGCCCAGGATTTTGTGTATGAATGCTGGGGATCAAATTCAGCTTCTCATGCCTGAGTGGCCAGCTCTGTGCTGACTGCATTCTCTCCCCCAACCTCCTCCTCCTCCTTTTAGAAAGCTATTTCACTGTGCGCGTGCGTACGTGCGTGTACTCCACCCTCGAGTCTGCTGGTGGGCACTGGGGTTGCTTCTGCCTTTTGAGTGTTGTGAATGATGCTGCTTTGCACATGACTATACAAGTGGATGGTAAAATCTGCTTTTGTGGCTTTTGGTCAGAGAGCAGTATTTGGGGAGTGTGGTGTATTTGTATGTGATGCCTGCGTGTAAGCGTGCAGGAGCATGCACCCATGTGTCCACACAGGCCTTAGCAGGCTGCCAGGCGTGTGAAGGCCACAGGCTTTCCCTTCAGCCCTCTGTCACTCCCTGCCCATCGCAGCCTCTCACTGAAGCAGAAGCTCACCATTTTGGCTTTTGGGACCCGCCTGTCTCTGGCCCCGCATTGCTGGGTTTGCAGGCATGCACGGCCACACCTAGCTATCTGTGTAGGGCACTGAGGTTTCAGGCATAGTTCCGCATGCCGGCCGAACAAGCGCTCGTCTCTGTGAGCCATTCAGATTATTAAGGGTGTTCACACTTCTGGCCTGCCAAGAGGCCTTGCAAATTTTGGGGTAAGTTGCCTGAAATAGGAATGAGTCAGGGAAACAGTTTGCCCCAGAGGAGGACGTTACACCAGAGAAGCCACCATAGGGCACTCTCATTCCTGAAGCTGGTGGAGAACGCGCCGGCACAGGCCCCTTTCCTCGGTCCATCTCTGCTTACCTGTAAGAAAAAGGAGAAGTGACACAGCTCTCCGCTTGAGCAAGTGCTTGTGGGCCTGGAGGCTCCCTTGGGTTCTTCAATCTTTTTCATGGATGGTACATCGATGGTTTTTCATTCTCTCAGTGAGCGTTTGAGCTCCTGTTATGTACCAGGTACCATGGCCAATCTTGGGGAAACCATGGACACTCCCCCCCCCGCCCCATTCAATGGACAGGACAATAAGCAAAGACTCACAAAAGAGATGTAAACCAAGTGTGTGTCGGGAAGAAAATACATGATGATAGCACCCTGGGCTGTGTGGCCTGGGGATGCGGGGGGGGGGGGGGGGGGGGGGGCAGCGAGGCTGTGTGGCAGTGAGGAAGTGGCTATCTTGAGAGACCGCTCCGTCAGAGTATACAGCCCTGGATGCTTGTACCGCTGTCCTGGTGGGGTAGATGCTGTGAGGTAGCCGCAAGTGGTGAGGGGCACAGAGGAAGAAGTGACACAGCCTGCATGGACCTTCTATTGTTGGGAAGAGAAGCATAGCTTTGGGAGCAAAGACATGTTCAGAAAAGGGCAGGGAGCCCAGGGCACATCTTAAAGCCACCGTGGCCATGAGTTGGCCTCTGGCAGAGGTTCTGGGGGCTGTTGCTGTTTGGGGGAGGAGAAGGGGTGTAGTCGCCTCAGTCTGCAGGGAGCAAAGCAAAGGGAGACTTTGAGGTAAGGTGCTCTCTGCTCTGTGCGTAGGGAAGAGGATGGTGCACTATTTGTTCCCCGACGGGAAGGAAATGGCGGAAGAATACGACGAGAAGACAAGTGAGCTACTTGGTAAGTGTGGGGTTCCCAGGGGACCCTCAGCAGCTCGTGGGGCTGGTGGAGATCCAGTTGAAGCTTTGGGCCTTAGGCTTGAGGGGGACTCAGCATGCAGCGTGCTCAGTAGGGAGAGGGAGGTCCTTGGGGGCAAGGCTGCTCCTGAGAACAGTGTGGAGTTCCTCGCCTGGTACAGCCTGCCCCCAGCTCCTCAGTCAGGACTAGGAGCCTCATAAGAAACAACTGGAAAAGCGCACCGCAGAGGAGGCTGTGGAGAGGAGAACAGGGGCAGAGGCAAGGCTTGTACTTCAAGACTTTTGCTTGCTTGTTCTCTTGCTTCCTGAAGCCTCACCACAAGGGCAAGCAGATGTGGCAGCTTCTGACTTTGCCTCCTGGACGACACCCTGACACCTTATTAAATATGACCCTCACCTTGAGGAGTGACGCAAACCGGTGATTTTACGGCACTGTTGCTTTTCTTTCCGCAGATTCCCCCTCCTTAAGAATAGGCTCATAAATAGGAGTTCCAGCTCGGATTTCAGGGGATTATTTGATTTGCCCATTCTCTGTTCCCAGGTATGCATATCAGCATTAACTGACTTCCCAGAGCTGGGTGCCTGGGCCTGTGACAGGGCCTAAAGCTGTCCGCCATGGGAGCTGGTTTCTTTATTAAGTTGCACCTGAAATGCTAAGACCAATGATGAAGCCACAGGCTGTGTTATTTTCTTGTCTTTAGTCTTGACTTTCATTTCTTCCTGGTCTGATCGACAGGTAGTATTGGCGAGGGAATTTCTTTTTCCCTTTTCCTGACAGCTCATAAATGTCTCGAACTGACAACATGGGTTATCCTGGTTTGCATATTCCTCAGTCTCCAGTCTTAAACCGTGTGTGTCCTGCGCATGCTCAGCTGCTGAGAAGTGTTGATCCCTGCTTATTATGAGCTGCTTGGGCTCCAGTCCCAATGGTTTAGTCTAGCGCTATTAAAAATCTTGATGTGTTTAGCATATGACACTGATTCGTTGGAAACCAATACAGTAGTAATATCCTCACAATGCATTGTAATTTATAGTGCTCCCAGGGGGTGACAGCCTTGGAATGCCTAACAGGGGAGAACTTATGAAAGCAGAGGTCACGTGAGCTAGCCACTACCGTCACCTGCCAGCCCAGCCACAGCTCCTGCCCAGCCCCTCATGTCAATCCTTTTCTCCACACAGCAAATAAAGCAGGTAGAGCTGCAGAGACCATAAAAATAGACAAACCCAGCCCCTTTGCTGTGCCCAGTCGTGATATTAAAATTAAGAACAAGGCCAGCGTCCTTTCCATAGCACCTGACCTTCCACTTCTGGCGGTGACAGCTTGGGTTAGGCCGTGGTGCCTTCAACAGTCTTTTTATTTCACAGCAAGAATGGAGGAGAGCCATGGTTCACCATTTGGCTGATTTACCAACAGTGACAATTACATACTAACTGAGCACCATCCCCGGCTTCTCATGAGTTACTACTTGTGATCATATTCATGTAAGCCCTGTGACACAGGCGCTGATGCCCCGTTTTACAGGTGAAGGAGTGAGGACGTGTTGAAAATGACAGAGCTGGACGGAGCCTGAGCCAAACTTGGCCCGGCTCTGTCCCAAGAAGCGTTTGAGCATCAATGTGCAGGGGTGAAGTGTGAGAGCTGAAAGTGTTCAAATCCTGCTCGTTTTATTTTGTCTTTGTTTTCTCGAGACATGGTCCTCCTGTGTAGCCTGGAACTCACTGTACATCCCAGCTGGGCGTCTTAAAGCTGCGGGTAGAAGGATGAGCTATCAAGCCCAGCTCAGATCCTTTTCTTATTATTTTTTATCTCCCTTAGCCTCCACCCAGCTGCCTTGCAAGGGTACTGTCCAATATTAGTTTCTGATCGTTTGTTTGTTTTTGAGACAGGATCTCTGTACATTACCTAGGCTGGCCTCAAACTCATGTGCTCAAGTGGCGCTTTGGCCTCGTTTCCCAATAAGCAGGACTACAGGCACATGCCACCATGCCTGGTTATTAACGTAGAAACACAATCGCAGGTCCGGGACTGGCCTGTGCTTGTGCATACTATGAAGAAAAATATGGATATAGTTTTTTTCAGCAGTATGTGAAATGGTTTCTATTTTTTTCTGCAGCTAATATACAAATTTGATAATAGGTCAGACAGGTTTTCTGTTAGAAAAAAAAAAGCTAGAAAGTAATTTACAGAGGAGGAATTGCCAGTAGGTGTGCATCTGTCTGGGACAAAGTTCCTCCAGTCGGTGTTAATAAGCATGTTAGTGTCATCTTTTTTCCTATTCTCTCGGGGCTATTCATTCCCACCCCCCACAACGAACGCTGTATGTATTCATAGAGGAAAAAGCTGAAGGGCCTTGTAACAATGATCGGAACATCAAACCAACCCCCAGAAGAACACAGCGTGTCCAGGGGGCCCGAGGCTGAAGGGCAGACCGTCCCCCAGCGATTACATTTGGATTACCTCTTAATCTGCTTTGGTATTTGACCGCCAGCCTAACCACCACAGGCCGCATTTGGAGGATATTGAGTACTTTCATCCCCAGGCACTTCAGCGGCTTTATAAATGACCCACTCGATTCCCTTCAGCCTCCTCTGGGATGGGCCACGGCAGCTGTTTAATAGCCACATAGCAATGTTGCAGTGTTTTAGGGCAGAAAAGAAGAATCCTGCATCCAGTTTAAGCTGCAGGGAGTATTTAGGAAAGGGGAATGTAATTATCCGTGTTGGAAGTGGGCCAGGCCTCCAAGCTTTGGGGAAAGAGGCCTTTAGGACCTCCACTTTCCAGCCCACCTGAAAGATGGGGTGCTTTCATCAGTCTGGGGCATCAGCCCGCTTCCTGCTGACTTGGGGAAAGGCCCCCAGGCATTGCCCCTTCAAACATTTCCCTTCACCGGGTCACTGGGAGTCTCCTTTCCAGAGACTGGCCCTGACTCAGCCCAGGAGATGACAGCGTCCCAGGTTGTCCCAGGTTGTTGCCTTTCCCACACCAGTTTGGGTTTAACATATAATCAAATCAGAGCGACAGCAGGTGGAGACAGTTCTCTGTTGCCGCAGGAGCTGTCCTTGAGTGCAGGAACAAAGACGAAACCAGGAAACCCAAGGCTGTGGTTTGTACTCAGTCCACATGCATGGGAAAAGTGAGGACTTCAGAATCTTTCCCTGAATCTTGCCTCTTGGAGGTTGGAAAGGGAAACCTCTGTGTTATACTCTAATGAAGAATATAATTCCCCAAGGTGTTAAAATTTTTTTTTAAAGTGAGACAGCCAAGAATGCCAAGCTCCCGTAACCTTGAGGAGCCTTGAAGGTGAGAAATGAATTTCCCTTCTAGGGAAGGTTTCTGTGGCAGACTGAGTGACCATTCCTTAAAGCAGAGTAGGAGGGGACTCCCGCAGTGGTTCTTGCTTCCAGGGACCATATTGGTAATGCTCCTGGGGCAACAAGTGCAACAGCCCATGCAGGGCTGTTGCTTCTCCAGCCCAGGGAGGCAGTAATCCTTGCCGCCCCTTCAGATAACCAGACCTGGCCTTTAACGGCGAACACATAGAAATAGAAACCATGGTGATGTACACCTTTAGTCCCAGCACACGAAAGCATGAGGCTAGCCTCATCTACACAGCATATTCTGGGACAACCGGGACTACATAGAGAGACCCTGTCTCAAAAAAAAAAAAAAAAGGAAAGAAGTGCTGAGGAGCCCTTGGGAACGTTGCGCCTGCTTAGAATACTTAAAGACTGTAGGTTAGGTCTTTAGTAATGACTGAGTTCTGGATTATTATCTAGCCCAGGGTAGCCCAGGATAGCCCAGGAGGCTATACCTCCATCCTGCCAGCCTTCTAAATAAGTGGCACCATGATCAGTAGACCTGAATTTTAACTGTTGCTTGCAAACAGATCTCCCTGTTCCCCAGTAATTCTTTATACTCGGTCCCCTGGAGAATAGGCCAGGGGTCGGGGAGGGCAGTGAGAGTGGGCAGGTGGGGAAGAATGCCTCCTCAATAAACAAGTCAAGGGAAAGCTGTTAGACTAGGCGGCTCCTAAGCGAACTTGCTCCCGTTGAGCCTGTGGCGAGTGTGTTCTGCCTTATACTCGGTGGTTCCGCTGGGCAGTGGGGTGCACTTGATCGCAGCACTTGGAAGGCAGAGGCAAGTGGATCTCTGTGAGTTCATGGCCAACCTGGTCTACACAGCAAGTTCCAGGCCTGTCAGCATTACATAGTAAGACCCTGTCTTGAAAAAGCTGACTGATCTCAGGTGTTGGGTAGTCCTGCCCTGCCATGTGAGCTGTCCCCCGGTACTGCTGTCAGCATGTCTGGGGAAAAAGTAATTTCCTGCCTTATTTTCTTCTCTATGTAGCTGCTGCTGGGTCTCCCTCCCCCTTTTCCTTTCCAGCGCTAAGGATCAAACTCACAGTCCCTCGCACATGCTTGGCAAAGGCTCTCCCACTAAACTGTACAGCACTTTATCCATGGTTTGAGGATCCAGGCATGACCTTCGCTGTAGTAGGGAGCAGGCTTCATCAGCTTGTCATAGTAAGCTGCTGCCAGGAGGCGTCTGTCACTTGTTTGCAACTGTGACAGAGACCCCAGAGGCTGGCTTCCAGTTAAGTGAGGTAGCCAGGTGGCTAGGTTTACATACGCTCCTGGTTACAGTCTATTCACTTAGGGAAGTATTTGTGGACATAAGAAGGTGCCTAGAAAGCATATTTCCAAGTTTTACTCTTCCTTATTAATTTTCATTATAAACTTGCAAATGTGTTTCTAGGGAGAATTTTGGCCCTAAGATGTAATAAAGCCACACTGCAGAATGCAGCAGACCTTATAAAAAGCCTGTGTTCAAAGGAAAGTTCTAATTTTACATGACACTTCTGTGTTCGGCTTTTGTGCCCACAGCAGTGGCTCGTGCAGGATTGGCCCGGCTGAAGCCCGTAGGTCTGACGCTGCCACCCTTCCGCCCCACCCTGAAAACAGACCCACCCCTGGCAACAGCTGTGGTAGCCCACCTGACCTTTCAGAGGCGGCAGGATTTCCACAACGGCTGCCCAGCTCCAAAGTGCCAGGCTTCTTACTGCAACGGAAGGAGAGGGAAGGGTGGAGGGGGGGGATCAGGGTAAAACCTCCACCCCATCAGCCAGGAGCACAGGGCTGAGGGGGCTCACCGAAATCCTGGCAGTTTCCCATAATGCCCACAGAACCCATGTCTGGATTTATGATTTTCATAGTATGTGTCTTATTTTAAAAGACAAAGAACAACGGGAAAGACCAGGCCTGGTGGCATAGCACGCATGATGCTGAGCCAGGAAGGTCGTCCTGAGAGCAGCAGTAGCCTAGGCTACAGAACGAGTTTTCAGCACAAAACAAACCTAAAGGGGAGAGGCCAAAAACAGCATCATCAACAACAAAAAAGTCTTTTGCAAATATATGAGCTGTAAAACGTGGGAAAGTAAAGACTTATGAGGATCTGTTTTACAAAACAAAAAGCCCTACATTTAGTTAGTGCATTTCAAATGCAGTGAACAAATGCAAGATGAACATATAAAACAAAAATAAATAAACTCACAAGAATACGACATGTGCCTAAGGTTGTATTTGTTGACTGCAATACTAGAGGTTGAACCCAGCACTTGGGGAAACTATTGCTGAGTTACACCCCAGCTCAAGATTATATTTAAACACAGCTTTTGGGCTGTAATGGTTTTTGTTGTTGTTTTAAGCCAGGTGTACCTGAAATAGGTAAAAGTCTTTATTTGGACTTTCTGAATCATGAGACAACTCTGGACAACAGCTTTCACGCAATTCATCTTTCCTTTGCGTAGTTTTTTAGGGGGGAAAATGCGTCCAAAGGTGGGTGTGCTGGTGCAGCTGCAATGCTAACACCTGAGGCCAAGGCAGGAGGAGGAGTTGGAAAACAGCCTGGGCTACTAGTCAGACTGTCTCAAGCAACAAACCACAGCTAAGCTTGCATTTGGAGACTCAGATTTCCCGTTGGTAGAAACGGCCTTCTTGGCTCCTTGCCTTTTACTGGGTGCCACGCCCATGCCTCCCAGAGCTGACTGCCCACCTTTAAGGTGGACTTTGTAAGCCTTCTGCTGCTGAAATGCCCCAGTTTGATCTCCCAGCTTACGCCATTCCTGGCCCAGATGCAGAGGGCCCAGCATCGAGACCAAAGCCCTGGCTTGTCCTGCTCCAGTTAGCCAAGGTCCTGTCAGATTTGGCAGGAAAGAGCTTTAATCCATTCCTTGTTTCTCTCCCCAGTGAGAAAGTGGCGTGTGAAAAATGCCCTGGGAGCCTTGGGCCAGTGGCAGCTTGAAGTGGGAGAGCCAGCACTCTCAGGAGCCGGGAGCCTGGGAGCCGAGCTCATCAAGGAGAGTAGTGCCAATGTATGTCTGTCCGGTTTCTTCTGGGGTTAGGGGGAGATTTATGACCCCTCAGGGCAGGAACCATGATTTGTTAACCACTGAGCCACGCTAGGTTTGTGTGACCATCCAAAGGGTTTATCCTGGCCCTTCTAGGTCAAGGCCTCCAGGCCTGGTATGTCACAGCAAAAGCAACTGCTTCAGGGGAGCCATGGGAAGAGCAGAGGGCTTCCTTCCTGTCTGGCTCTGCGTAGAGCCCAGGGAGGGAAAGGAGTCAACCCTTCATACCTTTCCCCAGGAATGGTCTTTGATAAACTAGGTATCATAGCACATGCTTATAATCCCAGAACATGGGGAGAATGAGAAGTTCAAGGTCGTCCTACTGCATATTGAGTCTAAGGCCAGCCTGGGCTAATTTGCTTTTCACAGCCCATCTTCATGCGCAAGGACACCAAAACAAGTTTCCAGTGGCGGATTCGAAATCTCCCCTACCCAAAGGATGTGTATAGCGTCTCTGTGGCTCAGAAGGAGCGCTGTGTCGTTGTTAGGACAACTAACAAAAAGTGAGTAGGGTGTACGAGCTGGGGTAGAGTGGCATGAGGTCTCAGGCCGCCCCTGACCTGGGAGGCAGGCTGACCGTAAACCTTGGGGGAGCTGAGGGTGTGTGAGGTACCTGTGCAGGGCTCCGTCATGTAGGAGAGCTCCAGCTGGCGTCTGCCTTGGCTCCTGGCCCCCACTGGAGCTCACGCGACTGTCTGTTGAATGAATGGGGGTTTAAGGGAACCACATGACCGTTAACTTGCAATCTGGTAGTTTTGTGCTAAGGTAAGACTTGGCCTGGTGAACTTGGCTTGGTGACATCACACGTTGGCAGGGAGCCGTGTCCTGGAAGGCATACATGGGTGGCAGTCTGAGCCACAGTGTCAGACTGCGCAGCGCTACACTCCCTGGACTAAGGGAAAGTGGGCTGACGTTCGGCTCGCAGAAATCTCTGGAATTCTGCCTCAGATTCCCTTTGTCTGCTGGGTGAAGGCAGTGAGTGATAAGGTCTGAGAGAAGGTGCCAAGGTACGATCACATTTGGGTTTCTGATACCCTGACTAGTCACAGTTGAAGAGCCTGGAAATGGATCCATTCACCCTGAGCTGGAGAGAATATGGGGCCAATTCTAAACTGGAGCTTCATTTTTGGGAGGGTCTTTGGTTTTGTTTTACCTCCTCATTCACAAGCTTCTGAACTATCCAGCTCGCTGGGTACAGAGCCTAACCCCTTGGTGCCTCTGTACCATTCGCCACTTTACAGGAGTGCTCCCTGCCCGCCGCCCCCCTTCAGGTGGTCGGGTGGTCTCCCTCGGTCTAAGAGGCCTTCCTACAGGGAAGCAGGGGACCACCCAGCCACCTCCAGAGTAGCCCTGGGTCCTAGCTTCCTCTTAGCAGCCCCATACCCTATCACTTTGGCAGGGTTAAAGGGACAAGGGAAAGGGTGGAGATGAATGAATTAATTTCAGGATTATTGCTGTACATGCAGCCAGCAGCCCCTGTAGTGGACCTTGTCTATAAATATAAAGTCATAATAATAAGGGTTTACGTTTATAAAGCACACTGAAGTCCTCAGATAAAAGGCAGTTTATTCCCGTTATTGTTCTCATCATTAACAGGAGTCAGTGCCTAAAGTGGAATTTAGCAATTTCAGACAACAGAGAAATTGCCTGTAGGAAAACAAACTCCGTGCTTCAGCAAGCATTCCCTGGTGTAAGAGGCCCTGGGTCCAAACTGAGAACAAAAGTGCTTCTGATAGCACTTGAATCTGCAGCTTAGCACTTTGTGGAGCTGGCTGCTGCCTCTTTTTTGTCCCCCAGAGGTCACTGTCGAATACAGATATCAGGCAGAAATGTGATTACAAGCAAGTGCTAGAAGAGAGGCTAGCTAGCTCACCAAAAAATTCCTGTGTGAGCAGATCCTCTGGGCCCGTCTCTTGCACACGTATACCGTCTCTGCCGTAGGTGGCGCTGTTGGCCAGGGGGCCGAGGCTAGTGGGGCACTCCAGCACCCTGTTGGGGACACTGTTGAGATGCTAGTGGGGACAGGGTAGAGTGAAAGTGGTACCCTAGCAAGAGGGCTCCCCATAAAGGGGGAAAAGCGATTTTTTCGTGCTCACATTGATACTGAGTTTCTGCGTCCTAACCACGCTCAGCCCTGCCCCCTGCAGGTCTGGTCAGTTAGGAAGCTACAGAGGCCTCCAAACCTAACCAGCCCCTTCCTGTGCCCAATGGGAGTGTCTGCCTTCGACCCAGAGAAACACAGTCTGTGCCTGTGCTCTCAGTCATCAAACATGACACAACGGTGTTTTACGTGCACAGGCTTTAATTTTTTCCAGAATGCTTTTAAAATCTCTTTCCTGGTTATTTATACAATGCAGAGGCAAACAAAAAACACATTTGCTCTTATCTCTACATTAATGGTCGTAGGAACCATTAAAGTCAGCACGAGGTGAGCCGAGGAGAACAGTGTGGCCTGCTAGCTCCATTCCTAGGCATCTTGAGTGCACACTTTTCTTGGGTTCTGCCTTTGTTCACCTGGAAGTGTGCCCCCATTTTAATATTGTAGAATGTGCTTCCCAGCCATAGCTACACCGTTGGTCGCCTTGTTGGTACCTGCCTGGCCCCTGCAGAATGCTGTTAGTCATTCTGCTTGAAGAAGTTGATTCCACTGTCTGGTGGTCCTTGGCCTCGGCATTAACAGGATGAGTCGGGGAAGGAAGAGACTGTTTCTGTGGCTCCTGTGCGGTACCATCTGGTTCTGATGAGACTATCTGGATAAAGATGGCTCCACACCTCAGCCTGGAAGCTGGCAGCGGAAAGATGGAGTCTGCTGGACTGCGAAGACACAAGCTTAAGCCTAGCCTCTGCCATGTGTCAACTGTAGTATTTCGGCCAACTTCTCACTTAGGCGAAGCATGCTTATACCACCTCATGGGTTGAGTAATCTGACATCAGATTCGTGCACCCTGTACCATAGCCACGGTGCTGAAGAGACACTGGCTGCCTTGACACTGACGATGCTCTAACTGGGGCTTGTATTAGTAAGCATGACTAGCAGACAAGCCTCAGTGGTCAGATAACTTGTGCCCAGCCACCCAGTGGGACTCCCTTTGGTAAGCCTCTGAGTACCTTGAGTGTGGGCCTGTTCATTATGACTCTAGGGGCAGCAGAAAGTAGGGACATGCTGTGCCCAGGGCCTGATGTTTAAGCTTTGCCTGCTGCCACTCTGAGGGCAGGACTGGCTGGGGACCTCTCTGGATCCCTGCCAAGCCAATGTGCAGGCTAGAGTGGGAGGCAGGGCTTGTAGAACTGACCACAGCAGTCCAACTCCGCCCCAGCTCTCCTTCAGGGACTTTCCCTGAGCCCTCTCTGCACCCTTCTCCATTCATGCTGGGAAGGAAAGGGTGAGGGGTCCCAAGGAACTGGCCAGGGACACAAGTAGAGCAGGCTGAGAAGACTCTGCCAGAAGGACAGTGGTTCCTGCCATCCAGGCGCTGGTGAAAATCTCAAGTTCGGCTATTGTCTTGGCAAGCCCTAAGATGGGTAGGTGAATACGGGATGGCCATGCAGAGAGGGCAAGCTCTGATGTCAGGAGTCTCTAGGGAAAGATTGCTTAACCTCACCCAATAAACACAGTCCATCATAGATGCAAACCAGAACCAAGCCTCTCAGGCCTGTGCTCCCTAGATGAGTGGCAGGGGTAGGGCAAGGACAGGGGCAAGCCATACCCCCTAAGTTCCCTACGATCCTGAAGTTGCCATAGGGGGTGCTGGGGTGGGGACAAACCCTGGGCTGCTTCTCCATTGGCCCTGCCTGGGAGTGGGTGTGGGAGGTGCTTCTCAGCTGGGTCTGCTTTCTGTGTATATTTGCAAGGAAGATGTTAACACTTCCTAACCGGCCTTTGTGTTCACCTAATCTCTGCTGTTTAACCTTTGACCCCCTGCTATTATCAGCGTCTGCCACCTTTGCTGGCCAGACCAGGGCCCCAGGAAAAGCCCTCACTCAGCCTGTTGGCTAGGAAGAGGATGAAGCAGGCATTCCACCCTGTTGCAGGCAGATGGATCGCCTTTCCCTGGGGCAGAGCTTTGGAAAAGAAAGCAACTTGGCAGTACCATTAGGATCCCCAGCCCCCACTCCTTTTGAACTGTCAGTCTTTAAATAAACATTCTTTTCCTGCGCTGGGTCCCAGCACCTTGGTGGGGAGAGGGGAACCTGGGAAGAGAGGGCCCCCAGCCTCTTCTGAACTGAGGGATTTGGGCAGGGAGGACAGGCCAGAAGCGCTGCATTGATGTCAACTCTCTGAGTCCCCAGGGCATCAGGGCTTTTGAAGTGGACTCAGTGTAGCTGTCACCACAAGGGCCAGGTCCCTCTGAAGTATTAAAAGCCATTCTCTCTGGGCTCTTCTCTTGAGTTTGTTTGTACCTGCCCGAGGCATTTCCCTCCTCAGCCCACACAGCCTCTCCCTCTGCAGAAAGGGATGCCTTGTCCAGGTGAGGGCTTTAGCAGCCCCTGGCCAGTGCCCAGCCCACATGCCACCAAGGAAACTGCTAAGTGAGGCTGTTTAGGCCCTGGCCTAATAAGCATCAGGCGAGGATCAGGCATGAGGAAATCTCTGGTCCTGTCTCCTACAGCACTGACAACTGCCCAGGAAGGCAGGGGCGCCTTACCTCCCTCTCAGCCACACTCCCCTAGGGATCTGCTACCTGGTTGGTTTTGTTCTTGCTATATATGTGAGAATGGAGAGGTGGGATCCTGAGGCCAGGAAAAGGGTCCAGAGTCTGAGAGCCAGGTTCCTTTAGTCTTCCCGTAAAGAGAGCGCTTGGTGGTGTACTTTGGTTTTAATACTCATTTTAGTGAGGCATTGAAAGTGACCCAGTCTTTCAGTGCGATCTCATGGAAGTAGTGATTGTACTACAGCTTTAGGGAAACAGCCCTAGACATCCTACCGATGCTCATTATGATAAGCATGCCATTTTCTGGTGTCCCCATGAGGCCTGTGATGCTCTCTGGCTAGTTGGAAGTGGTGGCCCTGCATGGTGAGTCACACTGATGCCTGGCCATAAGGCCACCACTGTCCTTTTGATTCTAAAACCACAAACTCAAAAACAGGCTGTTCTTGTTTGCTCTCTAGCTGAAGAGAAAGTTGGGGAGAGCTGTGTTCTGTCAGGGTTATTATGCTGGTTCCCTAGTAGCCTCTTGGTGTCCCCGCAGATACTACAAGAAGTTCTCCATTCCTGACCTGGACAGACACCAGCTTCCTCTGGACGCCTCTGCCCTGAGCTTTGCTCATGCCAACTGTACCCTGATAATCTCTGTAAGATTTGCCCAGACTTGGCATCGGGAAGAGGTTTCTCTCCCATCACTCACATCCCTGACTCCAGGCATCCCAAGCCCTTAGTGTGCTTGTTGGAGAATAGGCATCTCCTACTCATCTGGGGGGAAAGGAGTGGAGACCGTGGGTACCAAGAAAGAACCGTACCCCAAAGCTCACGGGGTAGGGGTGGGGGTAAGAGGGCAGAGTATGATGGGGAAGTGGTGGTCATCACAGGACTCAGGTTGCCATCTTGGGCCTGCTCCTCCCCAGCCATAGGACCTGAGCAAATCCTTCAGACCTGCACACCCAGCTTTCCTCAAGTACGGGGAGGACCATGAGCCGGAGGGAATGTGTGGCAGCAGGGGCTTGCAACTGAGTTGTTTTTACCCTGCTTCCCTCCACAGTATCAGAAGCCAAAGGAGGTCGTGGCAGCTGAGTCAGAGCTACAGAAAGAGTTAAAGAAGGTAAAGACAGCCCACAGCAGCGATGGGGACTGTAAGACCCAGTAGCTGTCGTGGGCCTTGCACCTGCAGTGTGGAGGAGCCATGAGACTTCCAGGCTTGCGCATTTCTGCACGGGCAGCCTCAGGTCTTCTGAGAACTACAGTGTCCACGGAGCTGGATGCCGGAGCGCAGCCCACTTCTGCCCGCAGCCTTGTTGCTGAGTAAAGTCATTTGGAGTTGCTCTAAAAGGACTGCCTTTATCTCCCTTTGTATGCTGCCTGTCTCTGGGTACCTGGCCTTCCTAGGGAAGGTGCTGGCGTGACAGCCGCCCCACCACCCCATCCTGGGGACACAAGCCTTCCAGCTGAAGGGACGGAAGAGTGGGGACATGGCTGGGCACCTTGTCAACTCCCTTGTGTTGGCCTGCTAAGGCGAATGGCTCAGAAAAAAACTCCCCTGAGGTAGGTGTGGGCAAAGGGGAAATTTAAAAATGCAGCTGTGCTGGAAACATGGCAGAATCTTAAGTCACTATTGCTAAAAGGATTGAGGGTTACAGTATTGTCAAAGGTGAAACAGGCTGGAAGGCCGCATAGGTGATAGCAGCTTAGTACCCCAGAGCCCTTCCACGGTCTTTAGTCTACACCCCAAAGAGGTGTTGAAGTTTGATGTTCTGCCTTCCTGGAGCCTCTCAGAATGACCTAACCACTAAAAAAACAGGTATGTGAACAACCAAATTTATTTTTACAAAAATGAAAATCGTAACATGTTTTCCACGGCTGGGCTGTGGAACAGTCAGCCCAGAGCCCCAAACTGACAAATTTCTCTTGTCCTTTTTTACTTTCAAAGCAAAACCAGACTAGTGCCTCAAAAATGAGCCCCCAGCTTAAGACATTGGCCAAAGTTGCGATCTGACTGAGGAGGTGGCTGGGTACCAGCAGAACTTGTAGGAACTGCACCTCTCTTTCTAGCTGGAATGGTGGGAGCCCCTCACCTCTCTCTGTAGGCTGCTACAGTGCTGTGAAGGGCTTCAGGGGCAGGGTTCGCCCTACTGTAAACCCCTGAGTTCCTCCTGAGACCACAGGTCCTGGGAGGATACCACATCAGAATCAGCCCCAGTGTCCCAAGAATCAGTGCTTCAGGTGCCAGGGCATGGTGGTCACAGGTCTAGGAGCACAGCAGGGAAGAGGAGTGAGGTATCAGTTCACCTGCCAGGCAAGAGAGGTCCCTGAGTAGCTGACTTGCCCAGCCCACAGGCAGGGGTGGTCTGTCATGGGTTTTGAAAGTCTAGGATGTGGAGGTTGTAAGACAGCGCGGCATAAAGATGCCGGGTGGTGAATCGCAGGCAGTACACGGGACTGCTGAGCGGGGTCGACGTCAGCGGGAAGGCCTGGAAGGGAGGGCAGAGGGATGAATAAGAGCTTTTCAAGTGTGAAATCTCAGGAGCGCCAACCCAGTGAAACAGAGACATGTTACCGCTGCGGGCTGCTTTGCAGCTGCTTTAGGTACAACCTTGGCCGCACCACCCACTCTCAGATGCAACCCACAAGGAGACCTGCACTGGGCGGGACACTTACGTGCAGGCAAGCCCTCTGGCGCCGGTCCCAGAGCCGCACAACACCATAGTAGGAAGAACCTGTGGCCAGCAGGTGGTTGCCATCTGTCTGTAGGCAGTACAAGGTGCTGTCATGAGGCTCCTCCCACTCCATGACACATTTCCTGTGCATGAAGAGAGTGATACAGATAGGTTTGGGTACCCTCCAGCTCGGCTTCCTCAGGGTTGGAGATAGGTTAGGGAGCCCTAATAGGCTAGAAGAACGTGAAGCCTCACTGAGCACTCTCCTTAAAACTAAACCTAACGGAGAAGGGCTCCCCTGCAGAGGCCTCCCAGGCCTTGGGCCACAGAGGCAACATGTCTTTGTTCTCCTGACAGCATACCTGATGTAGGGCCCACAAGAGATACATGCAGGCCTCAGCAAGGTCTAGGAGAGGATGCCAGGGAATTTCCAGCTGACTTGCAGAGGCCATGAGAAATGTCTGCCTTTTCTCAGTCTCCCGGGCCACTGTGACTAGAGCTACCTGAGGGTAGGGAATCGAACTTGATGTGACCTTGCTGCCAGGGAAACTGTGCTCTGGGCTGACTCAGGACTGAAAAAAGCCTGCACTGGTGCCGGGCTCCTGCGGCCCTACCCATCTAGCACACTCACCGGGCACTGGTGCGGAGGTCCCAGTAGCGAACATAGGTGTCATAGCCACAGGACAGCAGTGTAGAGGGGGACTCATACATGACATCCAGCACCCCAGCCCCTGGGGGAAAGTCACTGCCCAGATGTGTGATCAGCTGCCCACTGGAGGAGAAAAGGAGGGCAGAAAGTGAAAGGCTGTCCACCTTGGCATCAGGCCTAGGTCTCCAGCATTCCCGGGTCTGCTCCCTGAAGAGGGCTGAAGGAGGATATGCCTAGCCACTAGACCTCCACAGAGCAACCCTGCCCCCCCCCCGCCCCCGGTGTCCCTGCCCCCGAGCCGAAGCCTCAGTGGGGCAAATGCAGCAGCCCTCCTCCATCACACCTGTGTGCGCTGCCTGCTCCCTCAGACTCTGAATGGGTCTTGCTGAAGGAGCCGGCCCCCTCAGACGCGCACACTTGGTTACGTTACACTCCTTGATGTGGCAGGTCATGCAGTTCTGAGCTGCCCGAGTCCAGCGCCTTAATTCCTGCCTGTAATCTGGGGCTCAAACCTTATTGGGGATAAAGACCACACAAAGGGAGAAAGGGGACCCTAGGAGATGTTAAAACAAGTAAACACCTTTGTGTCTCGGGACAGAAATGGCTGAGAAAGCAGCTTAGTGTGCTGGTCCCTGGCGTTCTCCGGCTCTGGCCCCCAGCCCAGGGCTAACACGCCTCTGTGATCACAGCCCCCAGCCTGCTGGGCTCCAGCCTGCTCCCCCACCCGTACCCCACCCGGTGGCCGAGAACAGATTACTGAGAAGAACAATTTCTTTGTGACAGTGTAATTCCCTCCGTGACCGCGGCAGTGGGCAGACCTCTCACCCCATGCCAGACCCCTAGCAACCACGTAGGGGGGCCTCTTGGCCTTAGCAACTGCCCTTCAACATCAAGTGCATCAGCTAATCCTCATGGCCAGGGGACGGGTGGATGTATTGAGCTTCTGTAGAATGTTTGGAGGGAATGAAGAAGAGGCACCCTCTGGGCCCGCTGCCTCAGCCCCCTATACAAGGCCATGGGCGCTTCACAGGGATGCTCAGGTAAGAGAGGCCTGGGCACAGGGCAGAGGGGACTTCACTGACCCAAAAGTACAGCTTTGGCATGAACAGTGATCATCAAAGGGCTTGCAGCAGGCTGGGCTGTCTTAATGTAGAGTTCAGCTCCAGGCTGTCCCCATCATTCAGACACTTACCAGCCGACTCCCCCAAAAGCCACCATTGAAGACGGAGGCTGGGGCTCTCTTTTTACCTACTTGGCCTTTCACTGTGAACACCGTGAAGGCCTCTAAGGATCCCTACTGCTGTCCACTGAATGGCTAAGTCCCAAACTGGCACCTCTGTACCCGGCCACGTCCCCAGGGATATTCTTGATGTATGCAGGGCTTCAGAGTTGGCCTGAGGAGCTAAAGATAGGCTTGTCCCCAGGCAGTTGTGGCACACGTCTTTAATCCCAGCACTCAGGAGGCAGAGGCAGGTGGATCTCTGTGAGTCCCAGGCCAGCCTGGGCTATAGAGTAAGTTCCAGGGCAGCCAGGGCAGTTACACAGAGAAAACCAAAAACCAAAACAAAACCCAAATCCAGGTTTGTCGTCCAGGGGCTCCTGGGCGAACAGTCTGCCACAGACACTGGGCCTTGCTTCCAGAGGGGCCCTGCCTTTCTAGACCAGCCACAAACCCTGAGAGCCCCAGGAGGGGGAGGGTCTCCAGCTCAGAGGTACACTTGCGTCTGTGTACAGCAGGTGGGAGCTGTTACACTCCACAGTTCTCCCTCTGCTTTCCAGATTTTGGGGCCCTGCCCACTCCATTAGTGAGGCTGTAAGGAATGATTGCGGAGCTCTCCCCTTTAATCTATGGAAGTAATTTCATGTTTGTTTGAAACAGAAGATGAAAGACCGGAGTTAGGGGTGGAGCCCAGTGGAGCCCCACCTGCCCACCCTGATGCGGGGACTCAGAGAGCTGGGCACCCACTGCTGCGGGGGTGGTCGGAAGTGAGAGGGGACACCTTCACCTTGAGCACCAATCTGGATCCTGTCCACTGCCCAAGAAGCCACCAATACAGCACAGCCCAAGGAGGCGGGGGGGGGGGGGGGGGGGGGAGACCCAAAGGCCCAGCCCTCCATCTGCTTGCCCTGGCCAGAGAAGTTTCTGCTTTACCTTCTCTGGGACTCGCAAGTGACCACACACACTTTAAACCACCAATAAAAAGATACAGTTTCTTTGGCCTTGAGGCTCAGGACCCTCAAAGCTCTGTTGTATAGAGCAAGGTTAAGTTCAGAGCATCAGCTGATGCTCTGGGGAAGGGCCTGCCTCTTCTAATAGTGGCCCAGCGGTGCCACAGGAGCCCTGCTGGGGCTTTGATTTGGGAAAACAAACAGAAATGGCACCGTGGGCCCTTCGGGTTCCCACCCCAGCCCCAATTTAAGTAGAAAACTGTAGCTTAACTGTTGTGACAGAGAGAGAGACTGGTCAACAATAGCTCTAAACAGTCTGTCTTCAGCTTTTCTGTGCCGCTTTTCTCACTGCAAGTGTGTTCTTGTAAAAACGATTAGATTGCAATTTGTATAAAGTGGTAACCCCCAAATTCAGGCGTTTCACCCCTTTTCTCTGGAAAGAATGTTAAGAATGCTTCTCAGCGTCTCACTGTAGGGGGCAAAGGGGGGGCGGTGTGTGTGCAGAGCCCTGGCTGCCCCACAGCTTGTGTGGGAACAGGGCTGCTGCTCAGAGCCCCAGGCCAAGACAGGAGCAAAACCTGGACTTGGCACTATAGAGAGTCAGACAAAAAGTCCCTTCCCTTCCCTCTTGTAGACAAAGCCGAGGCTTCTAGGAGCTGCTGAGGGCTGGGGACCTCCACACCCTAGCCTCCCCAAGCCGGACTCCAGCAATTCTCTTGCCGCCCAGGGAAAGATAAAGACAGATGGGGCAGCCTGCAGGGTGAGCCTGATGAATGAGACAGGCTGAGTAGGAGGGCTGGAGGCCTGTCCGCCTGACACAGCCTCTGCAGCTTTCTCCTATGAGCCTCTAGTGCCTG